AGAGAGAGAGAGAGAGAGAGAGAGAGAGAGAGAGAGACTGTTGTTTTGTCTCATAAACTAAATACAAAACCCAAAAAGACATTAAAATAATTGTATGCTTTCTCTTATCTCTCACTTATCCACTGAAAGAGTGGTTTTTAAAAAACTAAAATAAAAAATAATTAATCGATAGACAGATGAGACCGAAAATAACAGCACAACTAATAAACACGGGATTAAAATAGCTTTAAAAACAAGAGTATAAGGAAATGAAGAGTTTCTTCACAGACGGAGAATAAAATGCACACAAAAAAGTACAGTAAATGTCTTCAGGAAATTGAGTTCAAAACTATATGAAGTGTTTTTAAACAGTAAATTAAACGCAAAACCAATTACTTATGTGTGGCGTCGGCGACGACGCGTGCGAATCGGTCGGCGATCGCGTCGTTTATAATTGGGATCAATTGAGGCCTAAAGTCGGCGCCGATTCGGCTCATCGACAGACCGAAGTAGAAGACGGGCTCAACGATCGACTCTATGGGGTAATAGTGGCCGAACTCGTTGTTCACACACCGTTTCACGTCCGCACGCAATGTGTCCAGAAATTGGTTCACTTTAAACAGTACCCAACTGTTGATTATAGCGCCGTCGGTAAAATCGCGGCCACCGCTGCCGCCCGTCGACTGAGTGGTCAGCCCGTAGTACGTGTAGTGTTGCGGTACGATCTGATCCGTGTCGGCGAAGATCGCTCTGTATTGAGTGATGATATCAAAAAGATTGACGCGATTTGTTTCGATCACTTTCGTAATGTGAATGAGAGCTAATGAGGAATGGATTAAATGATTAACAAATTTTGTAGATTAAGATAATTGTCACACAAAACTACTGACGATTGTTGGCCGGAATCTCTTTGATCATCGACGACAGCCACTGGTCCCGTGCCGTCAAGAACTTGATCCGCAGCTCAGTTTCCGTGAATTTGTCGGTTCGCCGCAAATAACCGATAATTTTGAGACAATTCTGGAGCTGAATGTTGACCGACAGGTCTTTCAGCAATTGGGCGATCATTATCTCGCGGAAGACGTCCACGTCTTTGGCGATACTCTGCGCCGCGAAACCGATTCAAACACGAGATAATCAGCAAATAAAACAAATAACACAACAAATACTACAGACAAATACATACAGAGATAATGGGAACCGACTCGCCGTGCCTTTTGGCCAGCGTCTGGACGTGTGCGTACAGCTGGAGGGCCTCTTCGTAGTAATTGGTGCGCACACAGGTGTCCATGAGTTGCGGTATTTCCAGCACTTCCAGTATCTGCGGGTGATTGGCCAGCATTTGGGACACGTCTCGCCATCGGTCGCAAATGGCTTTGGCGGCCGCCGAGAACTGTTGACACTCTGTGACGAGTCGGGGCACTGCGGCCAACACGGCGTCCACCGTATGCTCAGTGGCGTAGAAATCATTGGTCACGCGTTGAGTGCTGTCGGCGTTGGAGATGAATGTCTTGTAGTGATTGTACGCCAACTGTTGCGTCCGATCGATGGCCGCCGCGCGGGTGTCGGCCAAGCGGTGCGGTTCACCCGTCAGCGCCCGTACGCCCAACGATGACAGTTGGCTCGTGTAGTCCGACACCAGTTGGCCATCCATTTGGTCCGCTTCTGAAAGACAGTAGTTATGGACAACAAAATGAGACACAAAATCAAATGCAAACTCAACACAACTCACCATTTGGTGGTAATATAAGGCTAACGATATCATCGGTGGATCCGCTCATCGTCTCGAGAGGGTGTGGTGTCAACGAGTAGTCGATTGTCCAGTTAGGGTGTGAATTGTCACCGGATTTGATCCGTGGTTTGGCTGTGAAGCGAAGTGTGTGTCAGTGTTTTGTTGACAACACAACACATGATGTGATGCCAGACGTCAGCCAATAGGGAGTAGTGTTGTATAAAACGCGCGTTTATTCCCATATTTAAAGGGCTATAAGCGTTGAGTTGTAGTAATTTTTGTGTGTATTTATTGAACATTAGGTTTTGATTGAACACAACTTTGAAAACTTTGAAAAACTTCTCAACTTTTAATTCAATCAAATAATAATATAGTATTTGTCAGCAAAACAGCACAAAACCAGTGATTTGTGGCATTAGTTAGTCAAGTATTTTAATATTTTTTCCTAATCATGGATTATGTATGGGATATAAGGGTTAAGAAATAGTTTTAGTTGCAATCAGTTTAACACAAAAATTTGTTTTTCATATCATTTTTCACACAAAATCTATTTAAACATTTGATTCAAACTCTTTGACAAAACAGACATCATTTGTATCATCAAAACATGGCGTTCAACGAAAGTGTGGTTATTGTGGACTATTATTGCTACGGTTGCAACCAAATGGTGGAGCGAGTGGACGAAGAGAGCTGTTCCCGTTGTCGCAATCCATTCATAGAAGAACAGATCGGCGGAAATATGGCGCCCATCGATAGGCCACAACTCACACCACAAATGGACAATGAAATTGATAATGCGTTAGAGAGCGGCACAAATGTACTTCTCGTTAAACACGAGACATACGGCAAGATATACGGCAAAGACATTCTCACTCTTAAGGGACTCAATCGGCTTAACGACGAGGTTTGACATGAATTGATTGAAAATACATATTTATTATTCATATTGAATTTGTTGACAGATTATCGACTTTTACATGAGTCTCATCGTCGAGAGGGGCAAAAACGACAACTTCAGGACAGTTCACGCTTTCAACACATTCTTCTATAAGAAGATCAAAGACAACGGACCGCAGAGTCTGAAGCGTTGGACACGAAAATTAGATGTCTTCGCAAACGACTATATATTTATTCCCATCCATTTAGGAATGCATTGGTGTCTCGCCGTATGTAGTGTTGGTTTGAATGCAGTCCTCATTTAGTAATTGCTGTATTAATTGGATTCAAAGGTAATTGATTTGATGAATAAACGGATTCAATACTACGACTCGATGGGCGGCACAAACATGGGTTGCGTTCAGTCGTTGTTTGAATGGCTGTCGTGTGAAAGTGTGGACAAGAAGAAGGTGTCGTTACAGGCGAGTGAATGGGTGCTCGAAATGGCGCTAAACATTCCGCAACAGATAAATGCTAGAGACTGTGGAATGTTTGTCTGTAAATTCGCTGAATACATCTCAAGAGATGCCACCATCACATTCACTCAGGTCTGTACCCCCCCC